TCTCAAAGCAGCGATGTTTATCGTTTATCGCAGTAACTTCTGGGACGATTTTTCGCCCGGCGGTGTTTGTTTCCAGGTCTGGTCTGAACTCGAGTCTGTTTGGGTTGCAGCTAACAAAGTGCCATAAATCTCCTGAGTGGGTGTCGGACGCCGCAGCCTGGAAGCTGCTTGGTTCCTGCTGTTTTTCATTTTTATTTTTATTAAATTTTGCTTTGATGGCAGCCCACGTCCAGCCCACCGAGTCGTTTTGGGAGGCGAAGCGCTCCTCTTCCAACCTGCATCCCCATCCCCCAAATATCACCCTTTGCTATCCGATTTGACTCGGTTCTTGTAGCCAAACGCGAGACAGGAAGTGGCGCTGAGGGAGCCCGTCAGCCTGATTCTGTCTCCCCCCACATCACTCCTGCTCTTTGATATTTATCTGCATTAACGTCTGCAAAAAATGGACGACTTTGACCTAGATTTGTGTCTCCTTTTGGAAAAAGGGAGGAAAAATTAAGTCATCTCCTGTCTTTGTTGACGCCTCCATGTGAGGATTTGGGTTTTAGTCTCTTTGTTTACATCTCCTCCTCACCCACACACTTTGCTTTCAGAGCAAGAACTTCAGTATCTCCGGATTGGCAGATGGAAAAGGTGGCGCTTGACACATCCGCAGACGGTCTTTCCTGCGCCAAATCCCTTGCAGTGAGGCTGACATGATCTAAGAAGCTTTTGTGCATTTCGTCTCACCGCTGCAGCAGTTTGATTTATTTCCATCCTCTTGATACTTTCTGCTTTCCGTCTTTTGGCGTCAAACTGCTTCTTCAATCTTTGCATCAAAACATTTAATCTTCAGATGATGACGATGATGACGGCTGAATCTCCTTCTATTTATTGTTTTTATTTGTTTTAATATAAAATATAAACTTGTCTAAAATATTTCCACCATAGAAATTAATAGAAGGTTTTAAGTGAAAGACATTATTTGAAGGCTAGTTGCTTCTCCGATTTAAAAAGAAAACTCTTCTGTACATCATTTTCACTGCAAAAACACAAAATCTTACCAAATATTTTTGTGTAGTTTTAGTTGAAAAAATCTACAAGCGGCTCTAGTACTTTTTAAAATCAATAATAAGGAATTACTTACTTAAAACAAACTCTTATTTCTTGCTGTAAAGTTACTTATGAGTTTATGTCTCATTTCAAATGTGCTCAGATGTTTGCAGTAGAAACTAGACCAAAAGTACTGGGTACAGTTTTGTGGTGCACCCTTATTAATGTTGTATTTATTGATATGTTGTGGTCTGTTAGAGGCACAGAGACAATATCTCAGTCACAAAGAATATTTTAGATGTGATGTTTTCTAGTTCTGATTCTTTATTCCCACATCAGATCGAGATCTCTGCGCTCAAATTCTTGAAGCTCCAACAGATCAATAGAAACATTGTGATGATGGTTTAATCACAATCAGTATTGTCATCACAATAATCACATAAATCATAATGTAGTTTTCCAAATATCGTGTAGATTTAGTTTCCATTTTCCCTAATATGGCAATCGTATTTGTAACATATGTGCAAATGTTAGATTATTACCTTCCATTAAAATGTTAAGTAATTTTGCTTCTACTCTTAGCTAAAAATCCTTTCATGCTATTGCTAACTTGTTAGCTTAGGTTAACGTTTTCCGTAGTATTACTACATGGGGTGTCTAATAAATTCTGCGTCAACTTCAAGGAGTGTAAGTAGGTCTGAAGAATTTGGCTGAAAAACTTATCACAATAAAAGCGTTTATCAGTCAACATTAATAATTATTGCTACTGATAATTATTGATCAGTTTTTTGTTTTAACTATCTGAAATGCTGCCGAACTGAAATACCCTTTCCTGTTCTATGCGCTCCACTGCGTTTTTTTATTTTCTGTGTGGCCTTTGAAGGACGTAGCCCCCAAATTTGGTTGGTTTTCTTTTAGCGTAGCACCAAGCATTAGCTAACATGTTATCTAACATGCTAATGCTAGTAAATGCTAGGAGCATACATACTATTAGAACTTTAGCTAATTCAGCTAAGATTGTAAGATAAAACCATCTCATGCTAATGCTAGCATAATACTTACCATTTGAACATAAGCTAATTTTGCTAGGATTGTAAGCTAAAATGGTTTCATGCTAATGTTGCCATGCAAGCTAACATTGACATTTTGGCAATTATTCTGCTTCTAGCATAGAAATATGTGTTTGTTGTCTTAAAAAAGTAACTGCTAAAAGTAAAATTACTTTTTAAGAGCTTGTATGAGATTCACTTTTTTCTTTTCTTTTTTAAAATTATTGATAAAGTTCAACAACAGTTTCAGGTGAGCTTCTTCACACATTTACTGCAGCATTAAAGAGTAAATGTTATTTATGTTGTTTCCTTTCTTAGCCTTGATTTGTAATTTTTCACTTAATCTCTTCCAGCATTTTATATTGGACTCGATTTGTTTCTGTTTGGGTTTTTATCGTTGTATTTACTTGTCAGATTTGACTGTCGATGTGATATCGACACGGATCACAGGTCACGGGCCAGGTGCACAGGGCGCAGTTCAGCAACACCAGATGATCCTTGATTTAAGCCCAGATTGAGCTGGCAGATGCTCCACACTCTAATCCCATTCCCGTTTGATAAGATCTTGTGGGATCAGGCTCAGATAGGGAAACCTTTAGGAATGAGGAGTTTTTGTTGCAACAAAACTGTGTCGATGTGACACAAAAGGGAATCACGGCGGCAGATGGAGTGTCCTGCTTATAATCTGAACTTTCCCTTTCCTGACCTAATTAACAAGGTTGATGGGGAATCCCACTTTAGACTTTAAGGAGTCTTTGTGTGGCGCTGTGCATCCCGTGTGATCTTAAACAGCATATCTGCTGAATTATTCATCGCTGCTCCTCTACAATGACTCAGATAAAAGGGGGAAAGAAGAGACTGAAGAAAAGGGCGAGACACAGGAGTAGGGGGCATGTGGTCGTATCCCGAGGGTAACGGAGAACCGTCCTCCCGGTTTCCTGTTCGCTGGTGGAGCGTTGGAAGGTCGCGGCAAAAATAACTCCTTTCACACCCACTAATAAGAAGCACATCATTGTTTCCGTCTTATGATTTGAGACACAAATGCTAGCTAGACAAGTTCATAGCTCAGGAGTACAAAGAAAATCTGTTGAGTGCAGCTGGTTTTCCTTTTTAAAGAAAGCACGTTTAGTCAGCTGTATGCATTGTACAATGGCTGCTGGAAAAGAGAAGCATTTCTTACCATCCAGAAACCACCTGCTGTTCTTCACATCTTTACTCTGGTTGTCACTTTGCCCAGGCTTCTTCCACTGCAGTGAGATCGCATGTTTGGCACAGACCAACATTTTCTGCTCTTAGTTTCTCTCAGCTGACCACATGAACACTGGCTGTCAGGCTTCGCCAACATCAGACTAACGTAATATTATCACATTATTGGATTAATCTCCATCAGACTGCAAACGTCTAGTAGGTATATTGGCAACATTCTCCAGGGTTTTTTTTTTTCTTTTTTTGTCAAAACAGATCTACCGTGCCTCTTGCAGATCAAGATTAAAGGGACGTATTGTCTAAAATTTACATTTTGTATGTTTTTGTTCATCCATTTGGGTTTCAACTGCTTCTGAAAACAGTTAAACGCTTAAAAAACAAAAAAACTGTTGATTGGCAAATGAACTGTTTCAAAAACCTCCAGAATGTAACATCACAAATCATCAGGCAGTGCTCGTTTGGCGAAGCACATTTGGTAACAGCCCGTTAACAAATGTGAATTCTAGCACAAAACTGAAATCATTCTTATTAGCTAAGAGTGATTTTGTGCAAAAAACATAATGAGCGTATTTTGTATCACCCATAGACATGAACATCCTAAACTGTTCAAGGAATTATAACGGCTCACCTTTGAGGATTGAGTGTTGCATTGTTTTGCAGAGGCAAAAAAGTGGATGTCATTTATGGTTGTTTATGTCCTCTTGTCCCTGTAAGAATGTGGGGCAGCTTCTGTGTGTAGGACATTCAGGGTGCATTCGCAAAGGCCAGTTTAGTCCGCGTTAGTGGAACTCTGGTTTGTCTCCTGAGATAGTCCGGTTCGTTTGGGGAGGTGTGAAAGCGTAATCGAACTCTGATGCAGACCACAAAGGTAACTCCAGTCCACCTACTGGTTAGGTTGACGTGAACTCTGATACGGATCGAATGCATGCATGAACGCCAAGCGGACCAGAGACGGCTCCAAAAGCAGGAAGTGGACTACAGTGCAGTGCATTCTGGGGAAATGGAACAAAAACAAACGTGCTAATCTAGCGCTAGCGAAAGAAATGCCTTGTGGTCTTGTACCAAAGACGAGAGAGAAATCCTGCAACCGCTAAAATCTGGCTCCGTTTTTGTTTACATTTGGTGAAAGAGGAAGTTGTGCTCAGTGTCTTCAAAAGTTTTTGTGTCGCTTTCGTTAGTGGTTCTTGGTGCAGCGCCCCCACAGGTGAGGAGGGGGAACTTGTTTTTCAAAAAGTTTGGTTTGTTTACCACAGTGCCGCATGAAAGTGAACCGCAGTAGCTGAAAATGTAACGATTGTTGCAATTTAGTCCTCAGTCAAACTGAATCTACTGCAAGTCAAGGTTCTGAAGCAAGTCCACCTCTGAACTGCAAATAAAATAAAGCTGATAAAGAGCCAGAAGGGTTTGAGCTGACTGGGTTTTGAGCTGACCCAGTCAAAGGACATGACTTGAATGTGATCCCATTGATGCCACTGATGCTTGAAAACCCTCCAATGCAGCTAAATGTGAGCAGTTCTGTCAAGAAAGGTGGGCCCACATCCTTTAACAGTGATTTATTTAATAGCATTCCTGGACAAATATGTGAAATATGCTTTTAAAATGTTATACAGGACTGGCAGAGAATGTGTCGCAGGTCAGTTTTGTGTGGGTAATCTAAACTGAAAAGAGGTTTTCTGTGTTTTAAACATTTCCTGGTGTTTTTCTGTCCCTCAGCTCTGCGGCGTCGTCGTCGGGGGGACAGAGGAGCGTGACGGGAGAATCATAACAGGAGCTCAACCCACAGGTCGGCCACACCACCTTTTTATTTCTGCATGGCATTTCCTTATCTTTGCAAATATTTTATTTTGATTAGCATTCATATAATAAACTATAAGTTAACTGCAGGATCTTTAATCTAAGAATTGCATCATAAATTGACATTTTCAAAAACAAAAAACTAATTTGCTTCTAGATTATTGAATAAATGGACATATGAGCTCAACAACAAAGTCATTTATTTGTTTTAATCTGTAACTTAAGTCATTAAGTGTTACTCTACTCAGATCATTCATGAAGCGTCTCTAGAAATGTGGATTGTGGACGCTAACATTAGCATTGGGGACGTTTGTGCTGCTGCAACATGTTAGCATTGTGATGCTAATTTGCTGATATGCTGATTCCTTTTAGCACAGATTAAACACAACAATAGTATTTTACAATAGTAAAAGAAGCAACTTTAATCGTTGTTGTTAGCGGTGACGCTTGTGCGTCAGATTTACGGGCGTACCAGAAACATGCAACAAAGGTTCCGTTTTTGGATTCTTTTATCTGAATTAAAATTAAAACTAATCGAAATTAGGTCCCAGTGCTAATTCTTAAAAATCAACCCATTACCTCGTGAATCATTTGAAATGGTTTGATTTCAAACAACTCTGATTTTGATTCATTTAAAAAACAAAAAGTTTTGGGGCTGCCCAAAACTTTACGGCCCAGGCTGCTGGTTGGGGTCCGTTTGTGCGCTGATGAACTTTTTTTCACACCAGTTCTTTAGAAATAAACTGAACTGATTCAAACTCTTACCATAAATCATCTCTTCCTTCCTTCCTGATATGTGGGGAAACGGTGTGAAAACTCAGCCAAATCAATTCTTATTGACTGGAACTATATAGAAGAAACTGGTTTGATTTTCCACGGTTTGGTGGAAACATCTTAGTACAGAAAGACTAACAACTGTGTGGTGTGGAAATTAGTTGTGCTTTAATGCCTTTTCCATTGAAATGTGCCACTTCCCTGTTGAATTTCCTGTCTGTTCTGTCATGAGCTTCCTGTTAGAGAGGCACTTTACCAAAACCAAAAAAACTCCCTCTGTTTCTGTGGTTTTCTCGTATGAAAAGTTAAACCAGCCCTTTCAGATGCTGCTGGGTGATTTGCTTAAAGGACAGTAAGGCTATTTATTTACAACAGGTTGGCTTCTTCCTTCGGTGTCATGTTGCAGCGTATTTGCGTGTTCTTGCAGCTCACATTTTTTATCTGCAGGTATCTGTTTGAGTCACTTTCAGGAGGAACAAAAGCGCAACATGCCAGCTTGGCTCGGAGGCCGAACACACGATCCCGCTCTTTTTGTTCTCTGATTGGAGCCTTACGTTGCGAGCGGCGCCTCGCTGCACTTTGTTTACACTTGGCCGTGTCTGATGGACTCTGGGCTTCTGAGAAGGGTGCATTTAGAAAACCAAAACACAAAGACTCTGAGCTTCCCTGTTATCTGCTTGCTTCTTCACTGCCCTCCTCCTTTATAATCACCCACAGGCAGCTTTGCTTCTGCAGCACCTCTTATTTCACACCAGGTGATTACATGCTATCTGTATTTGTGCTTGATTCATATGTTTCTGCAGCCGCGTTTCCATTACAAATTGGCACAAATCTTTGTCTATTTTCTCAAAAACACAATTTTGTAGCATTTCCCTTAGATGGTAAGTATTACACTCAATCAATATTTAGGATAATATAAAGCAACCATTACAAATGTACAGCTTTTTACAAATGTTGAAAGATTACGACATAATTGTTCACGGGAATTAATAGATTTAAAGATAATTACCAGATGTTCGTGTGGTAATGCCGGCCTGACCGGTGGTCATTTGGTACACTGATGCATAGTAAAACCAGTGGGATTGGCTAATTGTTTTACTGCAAACAAATATTAGCAAAAAACCTCAGAACATATTTATGAAACACAACGAAGAGAAGATGTGGTTGACGGGCTGAAGGTTCTACAAACCTGTCAGAAATCCAAATAAACAACTGATTCCTGCAGTTTTCTGAAGCCCAGCAGCCACTTTGGCTAATAAATAAACCCAGAGTGGCTCCAACATCGACTCTTTAGCTTCCAGGTTCAACTGGAATGCCTCGCCGTGTCCTCAGCCAACGATTTTCTATCCAGGAGCAAATATCACAGATTTAATATAAATGAATACTTGCTTCGTCTTTACAGCTTTTGTCGCAGTGGGCAATAAATCAATTAATTGCATCATAAATTAAAATGAGTTCAATAATTTCCATTTGCATAGTTTATTATTTTTCTCTTTTTTTCTCTTGGATGATAACAATTTTTGTTCTGGTGTTTTGGTTTTAACTTGCTCTTTATTTGAAGGATAATTTTGTTTTCAGAGACTTAGTCATTCATTTAATTTGTTGTTTCTGTTTATTTTGGATACTTAAAATGTCTTAAAGTTCCAGTGTTAAATGTTTACTAGAATTTAAAGTTTAAGCTTTGATAATATGTTCTTGTTTTATTATTCTATTACCGTTATGTTAGTTGAAAATAGTCTAAAAACAACAATATTATCGTTTATCGCAATAATTTCTGGGGTAATTTATTGGCCAGCAAAACTTGCGATGTCTCGTCTAACATTGTAACTTATTAAACAGAACTCTTAAAGTTTTCCTTTAAATAAAAAAGGAGTCATTTTAATAAAGAAGTGATATTCTGGTAGTTTTCTTCCTGTTTTTTCTAGAAGCAAGAGCAAAAATCTCACAACCTCAGCCTCTGATCAGATTTAATAAAGATGAATTTGCTGTTTCATTTTTACAACTTTTGAAGCAGCTTTTGAAAAATGTTGACCAGCTGAGCGTCTCACTAAAAATATTTTTTCAATCCTTTGCAGTTTTGCTGCGTTTCTCCTCACAACAGACGAACCAAAGCTAAATTACAGCAGGGTGAAGCAGCGGGGGCAGTAATATTGATGTTCGTCGGTGTGGTTGCACATGGACTTCAAATTTCAGCTTTATTTTAAATTTGAGCGATGCCTCCGTAGCGAAAGGTTGTATTTAAATGCAGAAACCAGGCAGAGGTTTGATTATTGGGTTGCAGAAAAATCCGATAGTCTGCAGAAGCTACTTTTCAGACTTCTGCTGTTCTTCCGAGGATTATTTTAGCTGTTGGGCTGGAAATGAATTCGCGATAGTGCGGTTCGGTTCTTTCCATCACTCGGTGTGAGATTACGATTCACGCATCGGGTCCTTTGCGTTACTCACCGACAGGAACAACAGTTTCTACCATGAAACAACGCGGCCTGTAATGAATGCTAATGTGTCATTGTTCCTCTTTGCATTCCCCCGGTGGTTTCTCTGTGACAGAACCGGCGGCTGAGCGGCTGCCAGCCCGGCTCTGTGGAAGGAGCCCGCTGGCACTGCAGCGCTGCCGGGACCCGCCAAGCCTCTCCTCCGCCCCGTCAAAGAGGCTCTGTGTGCAGCCCGCTCGCTGCCTCCCAAACCGCAGTCATCATCAAGGCGATCCTGCAGTTTAGGAACCGTGCAGCCTCCCTCCTCTGCCTCGCCCAACCCCCATCTTCATCACCGTGTTGGGCTCAGATTTATCTGCGCTGCAGCCTGAAGCAAACATATGCAAGGCAGCCTTATTTATGTAGCACCTTTCAGCCAGAGACGATTCAAAGTCCAGCACAAGGAAGGTAAAAACAAAAACAATCAGAAAAACAGGTCAAAATTAGACAGATTACATCTAAACAGATTTTAAATAATTAAATAAAAAATACATAATCAGTGGTGATCATTTGCAGCTTTCAATCTACAGCCCACACACAGTTCAGATTTTTACATTTTAAATCTAATTTTAAATTATTTTTTAATTGGATTTAAATAGAATTTGCACAATCATTAAAAATCTCTTAAAGAAAAAAGTTTATCTTTTTATTACATTTTTTAGGTTTTTCTTTGGAGGGAGGGTTCATTATTATTTTTCTGCATTTTTTTAAGTTTAATTTTAGTTTTTGTCTTTTAATTTTACTTTTTAAAATGCTCATTACTATTTTAATGTAAATATAACATATTCATCATTTTTATTTTATACTTCTGCATTATTTTTTTTTATTTTTGTTGAATTTTACACATTAACGGACAGAAAAAAAGAACAACTGTTTCAAAGCAATTTCAATCATACAAGCAAAGTAACAAGATGTATATCTCCCATATTTACAGTATTAAAAAAAACTTAATTGAACAAATTTACTACCGGTGTGAAAACAGGATTATTCTTTCAAAGCACTTGCTAATATTTAGCCAAGTTTTAATAAATTACATAAAAGCTGATTTTGGTGCAGCATAGTCAACTTTTCAGTAAAAGTCACCATCTGCGTCATCCACCTGTGGTAATCAGGTCAAATTTGTATCATATATGAACAGCAGTTTGGGGCCGCACAAAATCAATCCACGGGCCACAAATGGCCCCCGGGCCGCACTTTGGACACCTTTGGTTTCAAACAACGCTCAGTGGTTTATTTCAGCAGGTTTCTGTGGATGAAAACTTTCCTGAAACCGATCCTGTGTTTACGGTTTTTAAAACAATATGGCTGACATGTTTGTTTTTAAAAGTCCAGGCCACAAGTAAAATAACTCAGTTCAGTCAAACAGCTGAAACCTGCTAGCTTAAGCTAAAACAGTTTTTAGTATTTTATGATTGAACTGCTGATTTGTGCCTGAATAAAAACACAGCTTCATCTGTCTTCGTTCCCCTGAGACAAAACCACATCAGTGAACGCAGAGCCAAACGTTCATGTGTATATTTAGCCCCACTTTTGTTGTCTTTTGCTCTACGCTGTAATTTCCACGTGCACACAGAGGAACGTGCACGCGTCTCGGTCGTTGCCGCCCGGAGCTTTGATGTGCATTAGCGAGGAGAGAAGCCGGTATTTATAACCGCTCGTATCGTTCCTGCATCCAGGGTCGGCCGGCCGGTGAAAATCTGCTTCCGTTCTTAGATGGGCTCCATTGATCAGGCCTCCATTATAC